CAGGTCAGACGAGGTGAATAATTTCAATCCCTTTTGCTAACATCCACAGCAAGTTCACATCTTACTTAAACAACAGAAAAGCAACCAACGCTATATTATATTCGGACAACACTGAAATGTAACTGAGGATGGGAATTTGGCCAACCACAGTCTCTCATCTTCTACGAATCGTAGTATGCTAGCTGAAAAAAAGAAATAGTAATGCTTACGTGATTCAGCAAGGAATATATCAATACAACACATGTCTATGGCAACCGAACTCATTATACATGATAATCAGCACATGACACTTGCACACCATCAAGCGTAAACGGGTTAAACTCACTTGAGAATGAGCCCCACCGCCGATATGCGAAGGTGGTTCCATTGGGATCAGATTATGTGGAATACCGGTGCTTTGCATCGCGTGCATGGATGCCTGGTGGTGTTGCTGTTGTAACTGCTGTTGCTGCTTCTGTTGGGCATAGTGTTGTTGCTGCTGTTGCTGTTGTTGCTGCGCTACAGCAAACTCGGCACTGGGCGCATGCGCAGCCTGATGATATCCGGAGGTTTGGACGTGATGTTGCATAGCCATTGGACTTGAGTGTGGATTTGGTGTGGATTGCAGATGTTGTTGGCGCATGTGCATAGCCATCGCCGTGTTCGGGTCGCTTGCCGAGTAGATTACCTGCAAAATTGAATTTTCAAACGATGTCCGCGTTTATCGTAGCTATTCGTTATTATTGTGTTACAATTGAGCGAGAGAATCATTTGATCAAAAGATATATCTTTTGACCATATGATTTTCTCTCAGTATTATACATTTAAGGTAAAGTACAGCATAGTTATTTGAATACGGTGGAAATGTTTGTGACAACCGACACAAAGAGCACTGGACAGAGCTGTTTCGTCCTGTTTGGGGGGACTCGTCAGCAGTGCACGTACTTTTTGCGTCCCCGTGTCAGGACTCAAACCGCGAACAATGGGGTCGGGTTTTAAAACCCTTACTCCTGAGCTACACGGTCGATGGTCGTGTCACCTTGCGCGAGTGGCTCAACCAATTTGGGGTGGAGTAAGGTGGGGTGGGGTGGGGGTGAATGTTTTACAGGCACTGTTCATGATGTTCTTGGGAGTGGGTAGATTTCACTCCTTGGAAAATAAGTGAATTCCCCACTGGTTGAATGCATTCAACCAGTGAGCAATTAACAATCTCCCATCAACAGTGCCTGGTGTCAGTGAAAAACAACCGAATGGGCTAATCCAAACAATCACCAAGATATATTTACTGCGTAGACCTTGCAAGTCAAAATTAAATTGTAAATAATAGAGTAAAACAGAGAAGAAGAATATACCACTACTTGGCGCTCCCGAGGACAAAGGAATCCTTCGGGGGTTAAGCTGAACTGAATGCTACCAGGCACGTCCCCCGGTTGCAGATAAGGGGATACCTTCACTGAAGAAAGTTGGTTGTGAATAAGTTTTGGCATACCGAAACAAATAAGCAGTCGCGAACAAACAGAGGCGGCACTGCCAGGGTGTGGTGGGTTTCAGGCTGGTCACCTGGCTCTTGTTTAAAAGCCGCATAAGCCCAATGACGGTGTCGCGACAAAGGTCGATGTGACTGGCCTTTTAAAACTAAACTCATTAACCCCCTTACTTCCGAGGTGAGGGGTTACATGCAGTTCGCACTTGGTTGTGCAAAAGCTAAAGGTGCGCCCTCAAAATAAACAAAAGCGCCGAGTGACGCTGGGGACGTCTCTCGTACTAAACTCCCAAAGAACTCCATGATCTTGATCATGATCATGTCTGTAGCCGGTTCATCCTTTCCAATGAGCCAGCCGGAGTAAAGTAAGTAAGCGGGTAGTTGCCAGTTTCACCACGCGATTGATGGGAACGTGTACGATGAATGAGTACAGATGAGTGAAAAGCACAAAAAGAAAAGCTCACCTTTGATTGGGGCCCCTGAACTACTGGCATATGCGGGCTTGGGAAGGGTTGACCGTAAGCAGATTGTTGTTGTTGCTGTTGTGCTTGAACATGAGTTTGATGCATCATTTGATTTGCTGTAGCCATTCCGTGTTGTGCAGACGATCCAAGACTAGATGAGCCACTCGAACGACTCGATTGTCCGATAATGGCGGCCGCATTTGCCACATCGGCGGCCGCTGAATTCGCCGCAATTGCAGCTCCACCGGGAGCGTAGTTGGAAGACGATAAACTGCCCGCGGCCGGGCTGCTCCCACCACCACTGGAATGCGGATGAAGTGGATCCGCTCCTAACAGATGTTGCGGTGGAACTACAGCAGTGCGGTAAATCCCGGCAGTCCGACCGAGGGTGCCACCTAAGAAAAGGGTTGCAGAAATGCCAGAACGTTGCGGATGGGATGTATTTTATTTCAATACCAAATTAACTCAACTAAATCGACAACTGTACATCCTTGAAAAATAGAATTTCTGAATTAAAATTTACTGCAAATAAGCCAAGAAAATATATAGTAGCATTTTTAAGATAGATCAAGTGAATTCGAACACAACGGTCGAACGCGACCCGTTCCGTTAGCTGAGGTGTGCGCATCACTTTCAATGACAAGGATAGATTATAAAAACTCTTAACAAGCAATCGGTAAAAAGGTCACCGAATTGCCAAACGTGCGAAAATGCACGCGGTACTAATGATCAACAAACTGATTATAAATTCTCTGACGCCTCCTAGTTATATGTATATATAAGTGAAAACATCAAAGTATTTTAGAGAAGGAACAGTTGGAAGTGTACGGTTACATTTGGGAAATACAGTACAGTACTGATCAAGCAAATATAAATGTACATCGGTTAGAAAAAGGTCACATTACATTTGGAACCCATAATATCGTCAGGGGAAATCTGATGATGATGAATGAGAAATGGACTGGGATCTTTCGCAACCGGTGATACAATCCAAACTGGTAGGTACACAGAATGCTGCTATCTGATTGGTTTATTCGCTCTGTCGATGCTTTGGTATTTTCCTTTCGGGAAAAATCTACATTGTGAGCAATCTTGCACCTCGTGAAGTGCTCCCTTAAAATCAAGCGTGTCAAATAGCCTCTACTGAGGAAGCCCCACTCATTGCCTTCTCGTGCTGACGGAGAGACACTTGATCTTATGGGAGCACTTCGTGGGTGTAAGGGAATGGTGACCAGTCACAATCCCGGTCACCTACCCCCGACCATACACGGAGGCTTTCATTTTTTTATAAAGACTATTGTACCATGATTTGTTTGTCATAGTCTAGATTTGGACGTGTGAAACTATACTAATATAGTGTGCCACCCTATAAATATAGCACGTTTCTCAATTAGTCAGCGAGGTGGTCTAACACTTCCAACAAACGCTCAATCTGTTTTGCGTTTCCCTTTGGACTGGAATCATTGGGGGACGTCACGAGAGACAATAGTCCGTGACAGACTGGCAAACCGAAAAAAATGCATACGTGATAATTTGAGTGCCGTGGACTAAAAAAAAAACACTCGTGAATAGTTACTTCAAGCGTACTTCATCCGATTTTGCGGGTGTCAGGAATAGAAGAACGGTAGAGCG